TGTACCTTGCCCCAATGCAATGCCCTTTGTTGTTGTATGGGATGAATTAGGACCCTTTCACACTAGAGCCCCACAGTGCAAGGGGACCTCTGCGGACCCTGAAGTAAAGGGGAAGTCTGATGTAAGAGGGAACACTGTGGACCCTGATGTAAAGAGGAAAGCTGATGATTGTGATGTATAGGGGGGGTTAGTTTGGTGACCAGAGGTCACCTTACATCAGAGTTCTCCTTTATATCACTGTCTGCAGTGCCCCCCTTAAATCAGAGTTTCACTTTACATCAGGGTCCACAGATTCTGATGTAATGGAGAACTCTGAGGATTCTGATGCAAGGGGAACTCTGGGGACTCTTGTGTAAGAGGTGTTCTGTTGACCAGAGACCCCCTTACATCCCCTTTACATAACAGTCCACAGTGTTCTCCCTTTACATCAGTCCTCAGCATCCCCATTACACATCTAAAAATATTTTTTGAAAAAAAAAATCTGATCTTACTGTCTTTTTTTGGGGATCGGGGAGACTTCATAATTCCCGGCCTATAGGCTCCTGAGATGTAAGTCTGGCCCTGAACCCAGGTCTCAGTATTCAGATACTCAGGTCGCCCACCAGAGGCCTATGACAGCAGATGCAGCAGCAATGCCTGTGAGGGCAGCATGCCCCCTGCAGGCTGGACCAATCCTACCCAGGAAAAGACCCAGAGCTCAGTGTGCTCACTGAATATATACAGTTACTTAGCATGCTATGAGAGCCTCTCTCCCTGGGATAGGCTGGGGCTGTATCAATATTCATGCTGCCATCTGCATAGCTCCACACCTATCATCCAGAAACTTCTCAAGCTTTCTGGATGCAGAGGCAGCTATCAGGCTGGCAGCATCTGAACATACTAAGCAGACCTGACTAGCAGAACACGCCAGCACTGATTACAGTGTACAAACTATGCTTTTACCTAACAATTACAACCACACTAACTACAGTGTGGCAACTAAATGTACCAATCAAAAAACATACTAAATCTATCTATGAGGGTGCTATACGATCAATAGTTACGTAACCTACAATCATAAATTATTGATCACCATGCAATCTCATAATCTGATTGAACGAAATACGATCACATTCAGTAACAAAGTATCTCAGTGGTAATGACTGATGCAAAACAGTCGATAATATTCCATCCTAGACATTTGAGTCAGTTTGAGCGAATCCAATTCAAACTGAGTCTAAATCGTTCAGAAGGGAAGTTATGGATATTCAAATGCTGGCAAATTCCATTGTTTTGGCCAATTTGATAAACAAAATTGAAGTGTGTGGGCACCATAAGACTAGTGGTAGTGCTAATGCACATAATAGTAATTGTGTAACTTTTGCAATATACAGTGAGGAACAGAAGTATTTGAACACCCTGCGATTTTGCAAGTTCTCCCACTTAGAAATCATCGAGGGCTCTGAAATTCACATTGTAGGTGCATTCCCACTCTGAGAGACAGAATTAAAAAACAAAATTCAGGAAATCACATTGTATGATTTTTAAAGAATTTATTTGTCTTGCACTGCTGAACATAAGTATTTAAACACCTAAGAAACAGCAAGAATTCTGGCTCTCAAAGACCTGTTACTGTGCCTTTAAAAAGTCCACCTCTACTCCACTCATTAATCTAACTTAGTAGCACCTGTCTGAGCTCTTTAAAGACACCTGTCCACCCCACAGTCAGTCAGACGCCAACTACTACCATGGGCAAGACCAAAGAGCTGTCAAAAGACACCAGAGACGAAATTGTGGACCTCCACAAGGCTGGAAAGGGCTACGGGGCAATTGCCAAGCAGCTTGGTGAAAATAGATCAACTGTTGGAGCAATTGTTAGAAAATGGAAGAGGCTAAAGACGACTGTCAGTCATCCTCAGACTGGGGCTCCATGCAAGATCTCACCTCGTGGGGTATCACTGATGATAAGAAAGGTGAGGAATCAGCCCAGAATTACAAGGGAGGAGCTGGTCAATGACATGAAGAGAGCTGGGACCACAGTTTCAAAGGTCGGTAGAACACTACGCCGTCATGGTTTCAAATCATGCATTGCATGGAAGGTTCACATGTCCAGGCCCGTCTGAAGTTTGCCAATGACCATCTGGATGATCCAGAGGAGGCATGGGAGAAAGTCATGTGGTCACATGAGACCAAAGTAGAACTTTTTGGTCTAAACTTCACTCGTCGTGTTTGGAGGAAAAAGAAGGATGAGTTGCATCCCAAGAACACCATCCCTACTGTGAAGCATGGGGGTGGTAACATCATTCTTTGGGGGTGATTTTCTGCGAAGGGGACAGGACGACTGCACTGTATTAAGGAGAGGATGAATGGGGCCATTTATTGTAAGATTTTAAGCAACAACCTCCTTCTCTCAGTCAGAGCATTGAAGATGGGTCGTGGCTGGGTCTTCCAACATGACAACGACCCGAAGCACACAGCCAGGATAACCAAGGAGTGGCTCCGTAAGAAGCATATCAAGGTTCTGGAGTGGCCTAGCCAGTCTCCAGACCTAAATCCAATAGAACATCTTTGGAGGGAGCTGAAACTCCGTGTTGCTCAGCGACAGCCCCGAAACCTGACAGATCTAGAGGAGATCTGTATGGAGGAGTGGGCCAAAATCCCTGTTGCAGTGTGTGCAAACCTGGTCAAGAACTACAGGAAACATTTGACCTCTGTAATTGCAAACAAAGGCTTCTGTACCAAATATTAACACTGATTTTCTCAGGTGTTCAAATACTTATGTTCAGCAGTGCAAGACAAATAAATTCTTTAAAAATCATACAATGTGATTTCCTGAATATTTTTTAAATTCTGTCTCTCAGAGTGGGAACGCACCTACAATGTGAATTTCAGACCCCTCCATGATTTCTAAGTGGGAGAACTTTCAAAGTCGCAGGGTGTTCAAATACTTCTGTTCCTCACTGTATAAACAGAAAGCATTTGTATTCAGACTGTCATTTTACTGTTAGCTGCATATGTTTTCAGTTAGATCAATATAGCACTTGATGTGGCATAAATATTATTAGTATGAGTTCTTGTCAGCTCTTTCCTTCTCACATCTGGTTTCCATATCTACAGAATAGAAGCAGGTAAGAGTCTACAATAAGGTGTGCTAAAATTCCTGCAATGCATAACTAGCAAACTGTCTTAAACAGAGGCTATTGCCCAAATTTAGTTTTTGGCTGGTGGTATTACGCAGACTGATTTGTATAGGTCTTCACCTGGTCTTTCCTTAAGCTGACTGGGGTTGTGATTTCTCATTGCTGCCTGTATATGTCACTGGTACCACTGGCAATAGTATGAGATTTCCTAGCAAGGGTTTTGAATATTTATTTTTCCTTCAGTTGATCCAGTAGAAGGTTCAGGCCACTGGTGCATGCTGGAAGGGGTATAAATATTTTGGGCAGGACTTGTGATATCTTTCTTCCCAAAGGCTGATACCTGGAGAGGTGCTGCTGGACTGAACTAACTACTGAGCCCAATAGCCTGAGTGGCCTGCCATGTGCTCTAGAAGTGAAATAGGCCTGCAGTGGCCCTGGAGCTGCCCTTCCTGTTCTATGGGGGAAGCTGAGCTGAGGAGACCTGGGATGACCCTTGTTGTCACAGGGGCCTGGAGAAGGACACACTGAAGCCTGGAAGCAAAGTAGAGGGCACTGGAACCAGCAGGAGAGACCACAATGCATGGACCAGCTAGGATGCTGTTTGCAATATTGCCATATCAGCTTAAGGCTTCATGCACCCTGGGCATTAAAAATGTAACTTTTAGGAGCATTTGACTTTTTTTTTTCTGCCCGTGAACACCTTTAAATGTTAGCCTATGTGTCCATGCATACATAGGTGTTTACAGCACTTTTCTATCAAGATCAATAGTGCACCTATCAGTCCTTCCCCTCAAGGCAGGGTACTAGGTGTAATCCTAGACTCTGACCTATCCTTTCGGCCCCAAATCCAATTGCTGTCAAAAGCTTGTAGACTTTAGACTTTGGAATTCACCCCTTTTTAACTAATGAAACCACCAAGCTAGTCATTCACTCCTTTGTTATCTCTCGCCTTGACTATGGCAACTCTCTTCTCATAGGCCGACCTCATGGCAGGCTATCCCCTCTTCAGTCTATCAGGAATGCTGCTGCCAGACTCATCCACCTTACCAACCACTCAATGTCTGCCACCCCTCTCTGCCAATCCCTCCACTGGTCTCTGATTGCCCAGCAAATAAAATTCAAAATACTAACAACATACAAAGCCATCCACAACTCTGCCCCAGCTACATCACCAACCTGGCCTCCAAATATCACCCAAACCATCCTCCCCCGCTCCTCTTATCATCTCCTGCTCTCAAGCTTTCTGGTCTCCTCCTCCCATGCTCAACTTCAAGACTTCGCCAGAGCCACTCCCATCCACTGGAACTCTCTATCTCAATCTGTATGGCTATCCCCTACTCTGGCTGCCTTTAGGCGATCCTTGAAAACTCATCTCTTCAGGAAAGCCTATCACACAACTAATTAAACATTTATCACTTCCATCAGATCATCACCATAGTTATAATGTATACCACTTGCCCCACCCCATTAGATTGTAAATTATTCTGAACAGGGCCCTCTTTATCGTCTTGTTTTTTATTGTATTGCAAGGCCCCATGTACACGGGACACTTCTGAATGATGGAAACTGACTGCTGGAAAATGTAGTTAAAAAAAAGTCTGTTTAGCCGTGTTTGCATAACTCATTTATGTGCGTTTGCATTTAGAAGCGTTTTAAAGATAAGCACAGGAGAACCTCCCATATACCCAGAATGTACTGAAAAGTGGTAAATTATTAACTATTTTAGACTGTTTCAGATAAATACAGAGAGTAGAAGCAGAGACAGCAGTATGTGTTGAAATTAGCTTAGGTGTGGGTTGCTCATTAACATTTCTTTGTGTTTCCAAGGGTGGGAAAGGTGTCTGGTGGAGGGAGTCATTAAGGTCACCTGGCAGGGGGTCTTCATGTGGAATTTGAGGTGTGAATGGTCATTAACATTTCTTTTGTTTCCAAGGGTGGGAGAAGTCTGAGGTGTGAGTGGTCATTACAATGTGTGACAAGTGTGACAAGCTGTTTTTAGTGTTTTGTCCATCTGAGTACCTTCAAAAGGCTTTGCATGCATTTTTCATGATGAAAAAAGGCTCTGGACAGCATCAGGAACTGGAAGAGTTAAAAAAAATTTCAGACACAAACGCTTACAAACACGATTTGCCACGTTTAGCCACGTTTACAAGTGTTTACAAGCATTTTGCATTTGAAATGCTGATAAAATCGACTGCTGAACGCAAGTTTTCTGTGTTCAAAAAACTAATGTAAACTCAACTGCCTGTAAACAACTGTAAACGACTGTAAAGATGTGTACATGGACACATAGGAAAAACATTAGGGTGAGTTCAGGGGCTGCTGAAAAAAACCGCTGAACAGCTCCTAAACGTGACTTTATCTGCTGCAGTGTGCATGAGCCCTAGCTGTTCTGTCTCCCTTTATATTGTAAAGTGCTGTGTAAACTGTTGGTGCTCTATGAATCCTGAATAATAATAATAATAAGAAGAAGAAGAAGAATACAGGTATTTAAAGGCAGAAAAAACACTGTCAGTGCAATCAGGAGCAGAAACGTTTTGGCAAAAAAAAAAAAAACACTTGATGAGCCTAAAGGCATATTGTTACTAGGAGCGTTTAGCGCTTGAGCATTAATTAATTTCAAGTGCAAGAATAAATAACACTGTTCAACAAATTTTTATTTTTTGCCAGTTTTGGAAACAAAAGGATCCATTTCTTAATGAATTTCACATTCTGAGTTCAAATATAACAATGAAATTTGTCAATTGGCTCTAGTTTTTCTATAAACGGAAAGTTTTCTACTATAGGCGTGATGACTACATAATGCACAATAATTATATAGATAGATGTCTTTCCACAAATATAAAGCAAGTGATATTGACTACATAACAAAGCCTAAATGGCATAATATATTGCATAGGATTACCAAGAAAAATTATAGCCATAAGCTAAGTTGAATCATTTTAATACTTAGGATTCTCACTAGTTTTGTCTTCAGTTTGTGTCGGTTTTGCTTCTCTTGGCTTTTCTCTTGTATTCGAGGAAAGGGCTATCTCTTACAACTGCACGTGACTACACGCTTCAGGTTCTTCCTCACTTGACTCAACCACAAAGGATTCTGGTGCTTTAGGAATTGGTAGCCCCTCTCCATGAGGAACTGGACGTATTTCCGATGGAATATTTGGATAGTGCACAGATAACTTTTTCTTCTTATTTAGCCCTTTTACAATTGGAGGCACCATACAAAAGTAACAATTACTAACATGATCTGTTGGCTCTCTCCAAATCATTGGCACAGCGAAAGGCATAGATGCCTTTTTTTCCATTCAACCATTGCTCCAGTGCCGTCCCACAAGAATTGCAGCATATATGTGGTGCCCAGCTCTTGTCCTGGTCTCCTATCTTGCAGCCAAAATACAAGGGTTGTAGGCTTTCTTAATCATTCCTGTTATCCTCCTTTTTTGTGAGATAAAAGTTATTTCACCGCAGATATAGCAGAAATTATCTGCTTTATTCACACAAGTTCGAGGCATTACTGAGTAGCCTATATAAGCATAAAACGAAATGTAAAGACGCTGTCGAACTACAATCAGCTACAGATACTGCAGCTTTTATGCAGTGAAGTGATGCAATTAAAGGCTAATATTGCATCATCTCAGTATACATGCAATTTTCTATTGGTCACCAGTATCAATTGCGCAATATGCAGCTGAAGTTGCATCATAATTTTGAATGGCTTACGTCATTAGATGGGTGAATATATCATGGAAACTAGAGCCAATCAACATTTTTTAGGGTCATTTTCGTTTTCAGCACCCCAAAATTATGTAAGATTAGCTAATTTTATGCCCAAAACCTTTTACCTGTTGAACAGTGTAATTATTACTCTGACCATTGAAATGAAATTAACACCCAAAGTGCTAAACAAGTTCACAAATATGCAGCTTTGAGCTTGTTTTTGACAATGCTTTTCTTCTGCCAGGGGGAACGACGTTCATTAGAGCTGGGCAAATGTGCATGGGGCCTAAAGCTTCCGACACTGTGAAACTGGATATGGAAGAGGTCTGTAAGAATTCCACTAGTGCCCTGGTGCCCAACCTGTGGCCCAAGGGCCTTTTGCTGCCCTTTGGTTTATGATGTGTGGCCTTCAGACGTTGGCAGTCTGTAGTGGGAACATTAATTAGGGTAATAGCATTGATCTCTACTAGCCTCATTTAACATGTTCCCAGTTTCATACTGTCTTCTGCAGCTTATCCCCAGCCAACAATGTAGCATGAATATAAAAATTCATGGAGGTTTTGCTGTTTGACACTGACAGCTTTTATGAATCACATTGTCGATTAGGATCCACTGAAAAATGGCACACACTTAGCCGTGTGTGCCCATATAATTAGGTCGCTTTAAAGATGGCGCCTGTGGAATACGCATGCGCCACCACCTATATATATTGATGGCGTGCGGCTTGGCATTATTGGTGTTCCCCTCAGACGACGTGCGGGTGCACGAAACGCGTAAGTGGGAGCCAATAACGCCGTGCCGTCACGCCGCCGGAGCAACGTGGAGCTCTGGTGGCCATCTTTGACTGTGGACGGTTAGTCCCATTTGCACACATTGTACACAGCTATTTGCTCTGTTTTTACCTGCATTAACATACCTGGATGTCTGATGTTTTACCTGGATATTTTATCTTACCCAATTAAACAAGTTAATACTACACTATGGGTATTTTCCTACTTTGACTCCCTTGGGGAGTATTAATTTGCAGACAACCCAGCATCCAGTTTCCAGAGAGGGAGCCTCCTGTATACCTGTTGAGCTGCACCCACCCATCCATCCCTTAAAGGGGACTCTGGCACCAATTTGATCCACATCAGAAGCCCCAGAACCTGTACACCTTGATACTACGGTATCTGGGACCCCTATCCCTCACCTCTTTGTGTGTTCTAATAAATCTAAAAAGTAACTGGTGCCCAATGTTCCTTCTGGTCCTCCATCTTAGCCATGGGCAGCCCTAGGGTGAAATGCAGGCCCACCCCTGCCTCTGGAGGTGCTACCATGCATCTGGGGGTTAGGGGGGGTTCTACATATTTAACTGAGCCCTGGATTTTTTTTTTTTTTTTTTCTAAGAAGAAAATTAGAGATGCAAGGTGAGGAAAAGAAAACAAGATAAACTACCACCAAATCTATATATAAAGACCCGTTCTAGCCATAATAGTTTATCGGTGCAGGTATGGAGGTTTGTTATATAACCTGCTAGCTGCAAATGTATGACCCCTGTGCCACTCGAAGAATTGAACTGAGGATTAAAGCACTAAAAATAATAAGCGTTTATTTGCTCCTGCACCTACACTCCTACAGACGGACCTCCTGTTGTGCATGAAAGGTTTCCAGGAAAGGTACGCACAGATCCTGACTGCAGATTAATGGGACTAAGTCTTGGAGTGTTTGCCATGTGTGGTCATGGGTCAGCTGCTCTGTATATGGGCTGGTACTGCAGGATTGGAGGAGAATAGATCAGAAATAGATCAGATCAGAAGAATGAAAAGGGTAACGAACAAAAGGTTGAGAGGGGGAGGAGAACAGGTACTTACAGTAACAAAGAATGGCAGTGTGTTGAACATTTCCAGAATGAAAGGGAATCTCAAGATCTGCTCCCAAATGTTTCCCTAAAACACAAAAGAGAAAACCAATAAGAAATTAGATTTATGGATTGTGGGCAACATATTAAAAAAAAGCTTCTCATAAACCAAGTAATATAGTTCTGGGTGGTTTACAGTTGATTCAATCAGTTGATACTCTACATTAGAGTTAATGCATGTTTTATTCGTCATGTTAAATCCAAAAGCTAAAAAAACTATATATACTCACCGGCCACTTTATTAGGTACACCTTGCTAGTGCTAAGAAAATCTCCCCCCCCACCATTACACCACCAACAACAACAGCCTGAACCACTGATACAAGGCAGGATGGATCCATCCTGTCATATTGTTTACGCCAAATTCTGACCCTACCATCTGAATGTCGCAGCAACCAGTCTGCCCATTCTCCTCTGACCTCTGACATCAACAAGGAATTTTTATCCACACAACTGCCACTCACTTGATATTTTCTCTTTTTCAGACCATAGTCTGTAAACCCTAGAGATGGTTGTGCCTGAAAATCCCAGTGGATCAGCAATTTTTTGAAATACCTTTCTGGCACCAACAACCATGTCACGTTCAAAGTCACTTAAATTCCCTTTCTTCCCAATTCTGATGCTCGGTTTGAACTGCAGTAAGTCGTCTTCACCACTTCTAGATGATTAAATGCATTGAGTTGATGCATTGGATTGCATGATTGGATTATTAGCAATTTGTGTTACCAAGCTGTTGAACAGGTGTACCTAATAAAGTGGGCGGTGGGTGTATAAATATGTATACACAGTATATTGCCAAAAGTATTGGGACACCCCTCCAAATCATTGAATTCAAGTATTCCAATCACATTCATGGCTACAGGTTTATAAAGTCAAGCACTGAGGCATGCAGACTGCTTCTACAAACATTTGTGAAAGAATGGGTCGCTCTCAGGAGCTCTGTGAATTCAAGCGTGGTCCCGTGATAGGTTGCCACCTGTGCAATAAGTCCATCCGTGACATTTCCTGGCTACTAAATATTCCACACTCAACTGTTAGTGATATTGTAACAAAGTGGAAGCAACTGGGAACAACAGCAACTCAGCCACCAAGTGGTAGGCCACGTAAAATGACAGAGTAGGGTCAGCACATGCTGAAGCGCACAGTGCGCAGAAGTCACCAACTGTCTGCAGAGTCAATAGCTAAAGACCTCCAAACATCATGTAGCCTTCAGATCAGTACAAAAACAGTGCATACAGAGTGGCCGAGAATTTCCATGGCCGAGCAGCTGCATTCAAGCCTTACATCACCAAGTGCAATGCAAAGCGTCAGATGCAGTGGTGTAAAGCACGCCACCACTGGACTCTAGAACAGTGGAGACATGTTCCAGAGAGTGACGAATCACGCTTCTCTGTCTGTCAATGTGATGGACTTGTCTGGGTTTGGTAGTTGCCAGGAGAAACGGTACCTGTCTGACTGCATTGTGCCAAGTGTAAAGTTTGGTGGTTGTTTTTCAAGGGGTTGGGCTTGGCCCCTTAGTTCCAGTGAAGGGAACTCTTAAGGCATCAACATACCAAGACATTTTGGACAATTTCATGCTCTCAACTTTGTGGGAACAG